CGCCACTCTTGACTTGCTCTGCTTTTCTCTACTTACTCTGCTCCGCTCCTCTCTACTTGCTCTGCTCTTCTCTGCTCTTGTCCTCTCTACTTGCTCTGCGCTGCCTCTTCTCTGCTTGTTCTGCTCCTCTCTGTTTGCTCTGCTCCTGCACACATATTGCCTAATACATACAAACCCATACACGCACACTGCCTAATACATCCATCCATACATTTATACACACATATTGCCTGATACATATACACACACACACACACTGCCTAATACATCCATCCATCCATTTATACACACATATTGCCTGATGCATACATCTATACACACATATTGCCTAATACATAGACCCATAAACGCACACTGCCTAATACATACTCACTGAATACTTATATCCATACACACACACTGCCTAATACATCCATCTGCACACACATATTGCACAATACATATATTGCCTAATACATACACCCATACACACACACTGCCTAATACATACATCCATACACACATACTGCCAAATACCAGACATCCCATGTCTCCCGGTAGTTCAGGGAGACTCTCGCATGTTGAATGCGGTTCCCTGACACCCGCAGATCATACATAATATCCCGGAAATCACACACACAATCAAATCTATAAAGTATGACTTCTGTGCATGTCAATATGTGTGTGTTTCAGTGTGTGTATCTGAATGTATGTGCCAGTGTGCGTTTCAATGTGTGTATCTGTGTGTTAGTGTGTATGTGCCAGAGTGTGTGTATGTGCCAGTACGCATATCTGTGTGTCTGTGTGTGTTGGTGGAGGGGGGGGAGTGAGCGCAAGCATGTCAGGGGGAGGTGGAGTGACCGCACATGTGCACGGGGGTGGCGTAGTAAATTGTGAAGCCACCTCCCTGAAATGCATTTTTGCATGTTGGGATACATTTTACATTAAATATATCATTTATAGCTGTGATAATAATATTTACATTCATTTGGTGGGATTTTATTTATAATATTGTGGGATTTAATTTATAGTAATGGGTTTACGTTAATTAATGTTACAGTGAACCTGTCTAACAGGAATTCACTGTAAGAAACATTTTTTTCATTATAATCTATCAAATGTATTATGAATATAATTGGTCGCATAGTCACTCGCACACGTCACTTACACACTCTAACATACACTACTTACTGAAGTATACAGACGTCACACACTCTCACTAACACACATGTATTAAGTATATACACAGTCACTGACACACTCACTAACACACACTATTATTAAGTATACACACAATGTCACACACTAACACATTATTATTACGTATGCACACGTCACTGACACACTATTAAGTATACACACAATGTCACACACTCCCACTAACACTCACTATTATTAAGTATACACACAATGTGCCACAATCTCACTAACACACACTGTTAAGTATACACACAATGTCACTGACACTATTAAGTATACACACAATGTCTCACACTCTCACTAACACACACTATTCAGTATACACACACACACAATGTCTCACACTCTCACTAACACACACTATTCAGTATACACATGTCTCACACTCTCACTAACACACACTATTCAGTATACACACACACACAATCAATGTCTCACACTCTCACTAACACACACTATTCAGTATACACACAATATCTCTCACACTCTCACTAACACACACTATTCAGTATACACACAATGTCTCACACTCTCACTAACACACACTATTCAGTATACACACACACACAATGTCTCACACTCTCACTAACACACACTATTCAGTCATACACACATACTCTCACTAACACACACTATTCAGTACACACACACACAATGTCTCACACTCTCACTAACACACACTCTTTAGTATACACATGCACACAATGTCTCACACTCTCACTAACACACACTATTTAGTATACACATACACACAATATCTTACACTCTCACTAACACACACTATTCAGTATACACCTACACTCACTAACACACACTATTTAGTATACACATACACACAATGTCTCACACTCTCACTAACACACACTATTCAGTATACACATACTCTCACTAACACACACTATTTAGTATACACATACACACAATGTCTCACACTCTCACTAACACACACTATTCAGTATACACATACTCTCACTAACACACACTATTTAGTATACACATACACACAATGTCTCACACTCTCACTAACACACACTATTCAGTATACACATACTCTCACTAACACACACTATTTAGTATACACATACACACAATGTCTCACACTCTCACTAACACACACTATTCAGTATACACATACTCTCACTAACACACACTATTCAGTATACACATACACACAATGTCTCACACTCTCACTAACACACACTATTCAGTATACACACACACACACACACACACAATGTCTCACACTCTCACTAACACACACTATTCAGTATACACATACTCTCACTAACACACACTATTTAGTATACACATACAATGTCTCACACTCTCACTAACACACACTATTTAGTAAACACATACTCTCACTAACACACACTATTCAGTATACACATACTCTCACTAACACACACTATTTAGTATACACACACACAATGTCTCACACTCTCACTAACACACACTCTTACTGAACTACACACACACAATGTCACTCACACCAGTTTAGTCACACTTTATACACACACAAACATACACAATATGATCAGCCCCCTTGGGCTCCATGTGGGCCATCCCTGTGCTAGGGCTGTGGAGGAGGATCCATTCAGTACTTACTGCTGGCTGGGCTCCCTCCATGTTACTGAGAGCCCAGCCCCTGAGCAGATGGAGTCCCCCTGTCTGTAAACACGCACAGACACTGGAGGGAGGAGGAAGCCGGAAGCAGGCTGTGCTCACTGTGCACCGCTCTCCTTCTCCCCCAGCAGAAAGGGGATACTTCGGTTGCAACTAGTTCCTATCCAGTAGAAGGACCCTGTCCTTTCTGAGGATAGGAAATAGCTTGCTCAGTGTGAGAGAGCTAGTTCCTATCCTGCTAAAGGACCTTTTCGCCCCCTAGTGGTCAGGTCCTGTATAGGGATAGGAACTAGACAGCTCAGTGTGAGTAAGCTAGTTCCTCTCCTGCTAAAGCACCTATTGCTTCATAGTGTTCGGGTCCTCTGAAAGGATAGGAACTAGACAGCTCATAGTGAGAAATCTAGTTCCTATCCAGCAAAAGGACCTTTATAGCTCCAGCTCATACAGGTCCCTTACAGGGATAGGAACTAGACGGCTCACAGTGAGAAATCTATTCCCTATCCGGCAAAAGGACCTTTATAGCTCCAGCTCATACAGGTCCCTTACAGGGATAGTAATACCTAGTTCCTATACTGCTAAGGGACCTCTATACCTTCAGCTAACAATGGTCCCTTACAGGGATAGGAACTAGACGGTTAACTGTGAGAAATCTAGTTCCTATCCAGAAAAAGGACCTTTATAGCTTCAGCTCACACAGGTCCCTTACAGGGATAGGAACTAGACAGCTCAGACTGAGAGAGCTAGTTCCTATCCTGCTAAAGGACCTATTTGCCCCTAGTGGTCAGGTCCTGTATAGGGATAGGAACTAGACAGCTCACACTGAGAGAGCTAGTTCCTATCCTGCTAAAGGACCTATTGCTTCATAGTGTTCGGGTCCTCTTAAAGGATAGGAACTAGACGGTTCACAGTGAGAAATCTAGTTCCTATCCAGCAAAAGGACCTTTATAGCTCCAACTCACGCATGTCCCTTACTGGGATAGGAACTAGACGGCTCACAGTGAGAAATCTATTCCCTATCCGGCAAAAGGACCTTTATAGCTCCAGCTCATACAGGTCCCTTACAGGGATAGTAATACCTAGTTCCTATGCTGCTAAGGGACCTCTATACCTTCAGCTAACAATGGTCCCTTACAGGGATAGGAACTAGACAGCTCAGTGTGAGTAAGCTAGTTCCTATCCTTCTAAAGGACCTTTTTGCCCCTAGTGGTCAGGTCCTGTATAGGGATAGGAACTAGACAGCTCAGTGTGAGTAAGTTAGTTCCTCTCCTGCTAAAGCACCTATTGCTTCATAGTGTTCGGGTCCTCTTAAAGGATAGGAACTAGACAGCTCATAGTGAGAAATCTAGTTCCTATCCAGCAAAAGGACCTTTATAGCTCCAGCTCATACAGGTCCCTTACAGGGATAGGAACTAGACGGCTCACAGTGAGAAATCTAGTTCCTATCCGGCAAAAGGACCTTTATAGCTCCAGCACACACAGGTCCCTTACTGGGATAGTAATACCTAGTTCCTATACTGCTAAGGGACCTCTATACCTTCAGCTAACAATGGTCCCTTACAGGGATAGGAACTAGACAGCTCAGTGTGAGTAAGCTAGTTCCTATCCTTCTAAAGGACCTTTTTGCCCCTAGTGGTCAGGTCCTGTATAGGGATAGGAACTAGACAGCTTAGTTTGAGTAAGCTAGTTCCTATCCTTCTAAAGGACCTATTGCTTCATAGTGTTCGGGTCCTCTTAAAGGATAGAAACTAGACGGTTCACAGTGAGAAATCTAGTTCCTATCCGGCAAAAGGACCTTTATAGCTCCAGCACACACAGGTCCCTTACTGGGATAGTAATACCTAGTTCCTATACTGCTAAGGGACCTCTATACCTTCAGCTAACAATGGTCCCTTACAGGGATAGGAACTAGACAGCTCAGTGTGAGTAAGCTAGTTCCTATCCTTCTAAAGGACCTTTTTGCCCCTAGTGGTCAGGTCCTGTATAGGGATAGGAACTAGACAGCTTAGTTTGAGTAAGCTAGTTCCTATCCTTCTAAAGGACCTATTGCTTCATAGTGTTCGGGTCCTCTTAAAGGATAGAAACTAGACGGTTCACTGTGAGAAATCTAGTTCCTATCCAGCAAAAGGACCTTTATAGCTCCAGCTCACAAAGATCCTTTACATAGTTTTTATACTGCTAAGAGACTGTAAACCTTAAGCTAATAGTGATCCTTTACAAGGATAAGAATTCCTAGTTTTTATACTGCTAATGAACATTTATTGATTGCAAACTTCTCAGCTAGAGGGAATGATTTTAACTTATGTGGAGCACAAGTACTGAGATCTGAGTTTGTTACACGCAAAGACCTGCTACAACCCTTGCGGCTCATGATGACTGGATGCTGCGGGCCGGTAGGGAGACTGAGTTGGTCCCAACTTCGTAAAGCTGTAGCAGTGTGGAAAGTGGGGGACTGCGTATGTGGGTGCAGGTCAATTTGAAAGTAAAGGGATGCAATTGCTGGCAATGGAGAAATTGGAGTGGGCAGTATATAGACCCATGTAAGGTGAGGGAGGATATATGGCACTGTGATTATATACAACACATATATTCATGTCATTGCTTTGAAATAAAATTCACATAAACACACTGTACTGTTAATGCTGAGATTTTCTTTTCTTCTTTTGACTTCCGCAGTGTCATTATATACCTATATTTAATGTTTAGTTTATGGGTACTGGTCTGGTTCGTTTCTGACTCCAACATTTTTTCATTTGTCGTGGACTCACAGAGGGTGATATTGTCCAGGGAGCGGCAGCCGCAAGTGTCAGGAAAGTGAGAAGAGGTGCATTGGCTGTTATATTTATAAAATCCTTTGCACTGGTTTTATACTTCACACAGCACATTTGGGTTCTGAAATTGAGACTCTGCCACGCACAGTTTGGTAGAGATTATTAGAGGAATTTTCAGCAAATAGCACCAGAGCAACGTGGAAGTTCAGAAACAGCACAAGTAGCGTAAACTCCCTACTTTTGTCATGACTTCATGTTGGAAATTAGAGCACACTAAGATTGTGCCACTATTGGGCGCCATTTCGTTCAGCACCACCTATAAAAATCCTGACACATTGCCCTTTAACTTTACACCTGTGTGGTCTTTTTAACTATTTACTCACAATCAATCTTCATCTGAGCTGCAGAAACTCCCGGCTGTCTTTCAAAATTTAGTAGAACATTTGTAAAACTTGGTGTACCCCAGTTGTTGCAGAGAATGGCAATATCTCCTACTCAAGTATTAACTTTTTTCCTAGGCAACAGTATGTTTTACAGATTAAATAAGTTTTTACATATTTAAAAAAAACAACACAATCTTCTTTTGCAATGGTTTGCCATTTATAGGCTGGTGTAGGCCATTTTGTTGCTTATGCTTTGCAAGGGCTGTGATAGCTTGTTGTCACTTGGCTGTAGTGACTTTTTTTTTTTATGGGTATTTTTATACACTTTGATAAGGACACGTTAGCCGAAGATTGTGAAAAATAAAGAAAACTGGTTTATTTTATCTGACACTTTGTAAAGTGAAATGGGTATATGGTACTGTGTTTACTACTCACATCTGCTTGCCATGCTTTGAAAATATAGAAATATTATAGATAAATGTAAATTATTTCTTTTCATTTTATTTATTCAATATTCTTCCATCTACCCCGGACTCACTGTGCCCTTCCACCTTAAACTGTGTGGTCTTTAACCCCTTAAGGACACATGACATGTGTGACATGTCATGATTCCCTTTTATTCCAGAAGTTTGGTCCTTAAGGAGTTAAACATCTAGCAGGAGAAAAATGCAGTTATTGACCATTTTTTTGGATATTCTACCTTGCTTTTAGGACAATACACAGCTGTGCTAGTTCACATCACCTTTGGACATGTCCACTACACAATACTTTGAAGGCAGCATCTTATGCCGGGCTCCTATTTCACAAACCACACCTGCTATTATGTGGACTTAATCCGCGGTTAGTTAGGAGTCAGGTTGTTGTTTTTTCTAAAACTAACAAAGCTATATTTTCAACAACAAAAAATATAATTCTTAAAGGGACACTATAGGCCCCAGAACCACTACAGCTTAATGAAGTGGTTAATTTCTGTTCAGCTGAATCATAAGAGTAACAACCTTGTACATTGAAAGGATGTCACATACGTAGTATGGCACATGACCATCTTTGTTCCCCCTCTTCTAGTAAGACCATATCGCTACACCCTCCTATTCTAAGAACACCCTGCCTAGTAATGCCCCCTAGATAAACTTAGAATCAATTTGTTGCACATTTTATGCTGTCTGCACAACCTTTCCAAGCTGTTAGTTAATAGTTGTCAATATTTGATTGGTAATTAATAATACTCCCACTAGACCCCCCACTTATAGAGTAGATGCTGATTGGCGCAGTGAGGCATTTTTGCCAAGCATGCGCAGTAGTCTCCTAATGCTATCCTATGGGAAGCAATGGACTGGTTGAAATCATCAAGAATGATTATTAGCCATTGAGGCAGGGCCAGCCACTGCGAGCCAACACAGCGTGGGAAAAAAGGTGAGGGCGCCAGTCACACTCAGACATATTCACTGACAGACACACACACTCAGTGACTGACAGACACACACTCACTAATGAAAGGTAAATTTGCTACTCTGGTGACTCGGTCCCTCTGGTCACTATTCTCCAACCCTCGATTGTCAGCTGAATATTCAGGGAAGATTTTTATGGAAGCGTATTAACCAGACACACACTCTTTGCTTTCCATAATCTTCAAGTGTATTATAAAAAGGATGGCATATTTATACAGTATTGATCATGAACTTTGACATACATTGGTCAAAATATGCTTACAAAAGATAAACGTTGCTAAAAGCGGAAATAGCTGATTTTTGCAGAAGACCACATTTTTTTGTGGTCAAGCATGTCTTATTTTCCATGATACTTTTCTCGGAAGCATCAGGTCAACGTTACTTTGCGGATGCGTCTGTTGATTCAAAAGCAGAAGTGATAAATCAAAAATAACCTGTGGTTTGTCTAGTTTTTTAGCTCTTGTGTAAATCTTAAGAAAGAGAATATAATATCAGAAATTATAGATGAGAATCATTAACCCCTTCCCTTCATTCCCCTCTTTGAGCAAGACCTTGCTCATACCCCATTTAAGGAGTCTTGGTCAGACAACCAGCCATCTGCCATGGTATATTCAGGATTGCTAGTCAATCCTGCAGGTCTTTCATTATGTCTTCGGCCACTATTCCCATAGCATAGGACTAGTCATCTGACCAGTACCACAAACTTATAGATCTGTATCAGCATGTTCCCCATTGCTTCGGTTATGTGTATACATTTGGAGATACTCATCATAGCAAGCTGGGGATTTTACAGGAACAGTGTTGCATGTATGTTTGTAAATGCAGAATACAATAGTCTTAAAAATAGCATAAACAAGTAGAGCAAGGACCAGAACCATAACAATAATTATTGCAAATAGCTGACATGTTAACCAATTTTCAACAGACTAACCAACATGCCATCTGTATCATAAGCCCTAGGTAAATATGGGCAAAGTATATTATTCCCAATAGTTGTTTTCCTCTTTCATCCACGCAAGTGGGCGCATATAGTCAAAGTGGGAATAATACCTATCCCCCGTCCAATGACCCAGGTCTAGGATTACCAGTCCACCCGATGATCTTTGGCCAGGCAAAAACCCAGTGGCAAAAACTCATATTTGAGGAAAAAGAACATTTAGGGAAAACCTGAGTGGGGGCCGCGATCGTGTTAGACATGTCATCCCCTCACAGTTGACACCACTTATGACTTATAATACCCGCACCTGTGAGTACATAGCTTGGGTATTGGGAGGAATTGGGAAACACTTCTTACATATTAATTCATGAGATAAATTATAATCTAGCTTGAAATTCTGACAATAATCACAACCAGGACCTTGCGTCCTATATCTTTTAACCTTTTCGCTATTCCAAAAGTCCAGTCAAAACCAGTCATATAAAGAAAACAAAAACTATCCCTTACTGAGATAGTGAGTGATATACTAAAGTGCCTGAATAAAAGCAGCTCAACACAAAAAGTGGAATACCTTAATCCACAATGAAGTGCAAAATACAATTAAATGCAAAATACAAGAAAAAAAGGTATAAACAATATACCAGCAAGTGGAGCGCTATATTGAATATATATATAAATAATGAGGGGGTATACTCACCCCTCCAACATAGTGATACAATGTGTCCAAATGTACATACAAAGTAAAACAACAAAAAGAGAGAATATAGTGCAGATGGTTTACAGAAAATAAAAAATGAATAATGGTAGCAATTGGTTGAAACCACTCACGTGGGTTGGAGCCTATAAGCTATTGGCTCCGTAAGTGACTCCTTCTTGCTCTTGAGGCAGCAACACACCCCTTTATCCCAAACGATATTCTCCCGAAGATATGGAACAAACAGAGAGAGAGAACCTCATAGATGGTATTGTACAGATGGTGTATACAATATAGTGAGATAGTAATAGATATGCTCACCTTAGACAGAGCCTTGAATTCCTGGCTCTGAGGTTTGTTGGCAATGTGCTAATTTATTGGGATAGCATTCCCCACATGGTGTTCCTGGAGGCTAGAAAGGACTATATGGACTAATATATAAAAAAATAACAATTTATTGTAGAGATAAAAAAATAATAATAAAAACAATATTTAGACTTCTCAAAAGCACATAAGCTAAATGATGGAAAGTCCAAACTCCAGCTAAACGCGTTTCACTCTTGTATGAGCTTCCTCAGTAGCTGTGAAGTAGCCTCAGGAATCTTCCACTTTATAAGTGCTCTAAAGTTGATTCGGATCCTCCCTTTGAGGTCACAGGATGTGTGATTATCCAATCATAAGGTCAGAGTCTCTTTCAAATTTCTTATATTAATCACCTGTAGTAAAAAAGCTTACATTGGCTAAATTGCCTGTCAATCAATCAAAAAGCTTGATTATTATTGGTGGTTGGATGGTGCTGTATTTTTCAAATTTCCTATATTGATCACCTGTGGTAAAAAAGCTTGCATTGGCTGAATTGCCTGTCAATCAGTTAAAAAACTTATTCTATTGGTGGTTGGATAGGGCTATCTTTCTCAAAAAATTTTTTATACTGATCACCTGTGGTAAAAGGCTTTCATTGGCTGAATTGCCTGTCAATCAATTAAAAAACTTGATTAGAACAAATTCTATTGGTGATTGGATGGGGCTGTCATGTATAACACCCATTCAGGGCAGTGGTTGGCGGAAGTGACATCACTTCCGCCCTCCAACATCTTCCCAAATGTCATTGTTAATAAAAAAAAAAAAACGGAATGCATATTAACAAAGTGAAATAGATAGATAGGTACAATAACAGAGAGATTTCCCTCAAATATAAAATAAAAGGGATTACCAAAATGGGGGTCGATTAAAAACTTACTGGATGAGAGAGTGCAATCAAGACAAACTTCTCCCATTGGATTTCAAGACTTCATTTTATAAGAGGACATAAAACCAAATGGCATAAATTTTGATAGTACAGATATAATATTGCAGATGGTACAGATATAATATGATACTGTTGAATATATGTTAAGGATAATTAAAGGAAATGACAGAGTTCGAAATCTATATTTAGACCTTTGGGTTGTAAAGTCCCAAGGCTAAAAATCCATCTCATTTCATTTTGAGCTAAAATTTTGTTAAAATCACCGCCTCTCCAATTTCCTAAAGTTTTGTGTATGCCCATAAATATGAGCCCCTGAGGATTGCTGTTGTGTGTAGTCTTGAAATGATTGGATACACTGTGTCCTTCATATCCCTTCTTAATGTTCCTTATATGCTCTTCTATTCTAATATGCAGATTACGTTTTGTGCGGCCCACATACTTGAGGCCACATGGACATTCCAACAGGTACACTACATTGGTTGAATGGCAAGTGATGAGATTGTTTATGTTGAACTCTTCATTTTCTTTAGTACTTTTGAATTTCCCTATATGTCTTTTTTTGCTTCCAGTGTTCCTGCACGCCAAACATATTCCACAACCAAAGAAACCTTTCCTAGTATCAATTGGCTTTATGCTGCATGGTTTTCTGATGTGGTTCCTTACTAGTAATTTTTTCATGTTAGGTGCCCCTCTAAAGATCACCTTGGGTTTGTCTGGTAGAATGGTGAACAGGACTGGGTCTTCCTTTAAGATTGACCAGTGTCTATTAATAATTTTTCTTAAATGACGGTTACCATGACTGTAATTACAGAATATAGGTATGTTGCCATTATCATTAAATCTTTCTTTATTCTCATTAATCCCTTTATCTATTAATAGGGTTTCTCTCTTAATTGCCATCACTTGATTGAGATCTTTGGTTAGATCATCTTGTTTATATCCTTTTTCCAACATTTTACCTTCTAATTTATGTGACTGTTCAATAAATTTAGTTTCCTCAGTGCAGTTCCTTTTTATCCGGATAAATTGAGATTTGGGGATTCCCTTAAGCCAAGGTGTAAAATGACAGCTCGTGGTGTGAATGAAACTATTCACCTCTACTTTTTTAAAATGAGTGCTAGTTTTGATTTTATTATCTTCAATAAAAATGTCAAGATCTAAAAAATTCACTCTCGTTTTGTTAAAATCCGTAGTGAGGGCTATGCCCCAATCATTATTGTTCAATGTATTAATGAAATCGGTTAGTGATTCTTCTGTTCCTTCCCAGATAAAAAACAGGTCATCTATGTAACGGCGATAGGTAACGAGGCCCGTCGCCCAGCCCGCCCCATGATGGATAAACTGGAGCTCCCAATATGCCATAAAAAGATTGGCATAGCTGGGCGCGAACCTCGTTCCCATCGCCGTCCCACAGGCCTGTAAATAAAAATGTCCATCGTACCAGAAATAATTGCTGGTTAAAATTAAAAGAATCCCTTGCATAATAAAATCTATATGGTCAGGGGGAAAATTACCTGATTGTTCTAAGAAAAACCTGGTGGCCATACAGCCCCTATCATGTGCAATATTGGTGTAAAGGGAGCTCACATCAGCAGTGGACAGAAAATAATTTTCGTTCCACACCAATTTTTCTATGTGTCTTAATATATCCCCAGTATCCTTCAGATAGCTGGGTATTCCTTGAACAATTGGTTGCAAGCATTGGTCTATATACTCAGATAATCTACAGGACATAGAACCAATGCCTGAGACTATAGGCCTCCCTGGAGGTTGAGTGGGATTCTTGTGGATTTTGGGGAGGTGGTATAGTACTGGAATTCTTGGGAAATCAATTTTTAAGTAATTAAACTCTTTTTGGTTCAAGATCCCATTTGTAAGTCCTTCATTTAGGTAATTATGGAATTTGTCCTTGAGATTCTTTGTAGGATCTGCTCCTAATTTTATATAGGTATTGGTGTCCTCCAGTAATTTGTATGATTCCTTGTTATAGTCATCTAATGTCATTAAAACTACACCCCCCCCCCTTATCGGCTGGTTTTATAATTATTGAATTATCTTTCTGGAATTTCTTCAGGGCCATACACTCTTTCCTGGTGAGGTTCTGTTGATGTTTATTGGGTTCTTTAATTTTATTTATATCTCTCATCACTAATTTTTCAAATGTTACCATTTCACCTGATATTAAGTTTTTGGGATAGAACTTTGATTTTTCTTTCAAGTTAGTATGTTTATAGACATCATGTTGTGTATCTTCAGAATTAGTTAAAATAGGGTTCTTGTAGAAAAATTTCTTTAGACATAATGTCCTCTTAAATTTATTTAAATCAACATATGTCTCAAATTTATTTAGCTTTTTAGTTGGTGCGAATTTCAAACCCTTCTGTAACAATTTAATTTGAGGAGAATTCAAGACAATTTGATTTGAGGAGAATTCAAGACATATGCTGTTAGATTGAAAATCCCTGCTTGTTTTTCTCTATCTTTCATATTTACTGGTTTCGTCTGTCTCTTTTTTCTCCTCTGAAGGTTCGCTCCTCCTCTAACTCCCCTTCCTCTATACTTCTCCGTCTCTTCTGTGGTGATCTCTGTTGGTATTGGGGTTTGTGTTTGACTCTGTTCCTCAAGTTCCAAAAATCCCCTTCCTGAGGGGTTCTGGCTAAGGTCTCGAATCTATTGGAGATAGGTATATGTGACAACCTCCTTGTACTTTTACGGATTTTACTTTGGGCCGTTAAAAACTCGTCAGATCTTGCCCTTCTTTCTGTTCTTATTGGGGTTCTGATATTATCTTGGATATATGGCCTCGACACATGTGGTTCTCTTGTTTTCATGCTCGAAACCTTAGGACGGTTCCATTCATTAGTGTGATTGGTTGTCCTGTATTCTGTTCTATTTCTAGGCCCATTTTGGAAATTGGGTTCATGGTACCTGTTTCGGATGTTATTTTGATAGTGTCTGACTGAGTGTTGTGTTTTATTTCTATCGCCTTGTCTATATATGGGCTGTTTTCTATTTCCATATGTGTAAGCTTCATTCTTATTGTAATCAGTCCTATCACGTGTGTATTTTTTCTTTTTAATTTGGATTGTATCTTTTTCTACTTTTTCTAAGGTGTGTTGTAAATTTTCGGTGATTTTCCTATATTTCTCGGAATTAGTGTGATTTAATAAAAATTTTTGTTCCTTATTGATTTCTGCATCAAGTTTTTCCAAATTATACTCTCTTCGCTTAATTAAAGTTCTCATCATTGTGAATGAAAAAGAATCTAACATCACTGCCCATTCATCCATAAATGTTTTGTCATCTTGATCAAAGGAGGGAAACTTGGAGAGCCTCAAACCTCTCGGAGTTATTTTATCTCTGATGTATTTTTCTAGGGTAGCTATTTCCCATTTAATTCGTATTTCTTTACTTAAGAGTCTCTCCAAATTTCTCTGGCAATCTGAGATGGATCTCTCCTCAACTTGATCAATTTGGTTGAAAAGATTCTCTTCCCCACCAAATAATTCATCTATATTTTTGCAGTGGTGTTTTTTTCTTTGTTCGAAAAGTGACATACTGCAGGCAGGCAAAATAGTGTACACACAAAAGGTATTTGGTATGAAACACACAAAGAAAACAAAAACTATCCCTTACTGAGATAGTGAGTGATATACTAAAGTGCCTGAATAAAAGCAGCTCAACACAAAAAGTGAAATACCTTAATCCACAATGAAGTGCAAAATACAAGAAAATGCAAAATACAAGAAAAAAAGGTATAAACAATATACCAGCAAGTGGAGCGCTATATTGAATATATATATAAATAATGAGGGGGTATACTCACCCCTCCAACATAGTGATACAATGTGTCCAAATGTACATACAAAGTAAAACAACAAAGAGAGAGAATATAGTGCAGATGGTTTACAAAAAATAAAATAAATTAAAAAATAAAAAATAAAAAATAAAAAATGAATAATGGTAGCAATTGGTTGAAACCACTCACGTGGGTTGGAGCCTATAAGCTATTGGCTCCGTAAGTGACTCCTTCTTGCTCTTGAGGCAGCAACACACCCCTTTATCCCAAACGATATTCTCCCGAAGATATGGAACAAACAGAGAGAGAGAACCTCATAGGTGGTATTGTACATATGGTGTATACAATATAGTGAGATAGTAATAGATATGCTCACCTTAGACAGAGCCTTGAATTCCTGGCTCTGAGGTTTGTTGGCAATGTGCTAATTTATTGGGATAGCATTCCCCACATGGTGTTCCTGGAGGCTAGAAAGGACTATATGGACTAATATATAAAAAATAACAATTTATTGTAGAGATAAAAAAATAATAATAAAAACAATATTTAGACTTCTCAAAAGCACATAAGCTAAATGATGGAAAGTCCAAGTATAAAAGTCCAAACTCCAGCTAAACGCGTTTCACTCTTGTATGAGCTTCCTCAGTAGCTGTGAAGTAGCCTCAGGAATCTTCCACTTTATAAGTGCTCTAAAGTTGATTCGGATCCTCCCTTTGAGGTCACAGGATGTGTGATTATCCAATCATAAGATCAGAGTCTCTTTCAAATTTCTTATATTAATCACCTGTAGTAAAAAAGCTTACATTGGCTAAATTGCCTGTCAATCAATCAAAAAGCTTGATTATTATTGGTGGTTGGATGGTGCTGTATTTTTCAAATTGCCTATATTGATCACCTGTGGTAAAAAAGCTTGCATTGGCTGAATTGCCTATCAATCAGTTAAAAAACTTATTCTATTGGTGGTTGGATAGGGCTATCTTTCTCAAAAAAATTTTGATACTGATCACCTGTGGTAAAAAGGCTTTCATTGGCTGAATTGCCTGTCAATCAATTAAAAAACTTGATTAGAACAAATTCTATTGGTGATTGGATGCGGCTGTCATGTATAGCACCCATTCAGGGCAGTGGTTGGCGGAAGTGACATCACTTCCGCCCTCCAACATCTTCCCAAATGTCATTGTTAATAAAAAATAAAAAAATAAAAAAATAAATAAAAAAACGGAATGCATATTAACAAAGTGAAATAGATAGATAGGTACAATAACAGAGAGATTTCCCTCAAATATAAAATAAAAGGGATTACCAAAATGGGGGTCGATTAAAAACTTACTGGTTGAGAAAGTGCAATCAAGACAAACTTCTCCCATTGGATTTCAAGACTTCATTTTATAAGAGGACATAAAACCAAATGGCATAAATTTTGATAGTACAGATATAATATTGCAGATGGTACAGATATAATATGATACTGTTGAATATATGTTAAGGATAATTAAAGGAAATGGCAGAGTTCGAAATCTATATTTAGACCTTTGGGTTGTAAAGTCCCAAGGCTAAAAATCCATCTCATTTCATTTTGAGTTAAATTTTGTTAAAATCACCGCCTCTCCAATTTCCTAAAGTTTTGTGTATGCCCATAAATATGAGCCCCTGAGGATTGCTGTTGTGTGTAATCTTGAAATGATTGGATACACTGTGTCCTTCATATCCCTTCTTAATGTTCCTTATATGCTCTTCTATTCTAATATGCAGATTACGTTTTGTGCGGCCCACATACTTGAGGCCACATGGACATTCCAACAGGTACACTACATTGGTTGAATGGCAAGTGATGAGATTGTTTATGTTGAACTCTTCATTTTCTTTAGTACTTTTGAATTTCCCTATATGTCTTTTTTTGCTTCCAGTGTTCCTGCACGCCAAACATATTCCACAACAAAAGAAACCTTTCCTAGTATCAATTGGCTTTATGCTGCATGGTTTTCTGATGTGGTTCCTTACTAGTAATTTTTTCATGTTAGGTGCCCCTCTAAAGATCACCTTGGGTTTGTCTGGTAGAATGGTGAACAGGACTGGGTCTTCCTTTAAGATTGACCAGTGTCTATTAATAATTTTTCTTAAATGACGGTTACCATGACTGTAATTACAGAATATAGGTATGTTGCCATTATCATTAAATCTTTCTTTATTTTCATTAATCCCTTTATCTATTAATAGGGTTTCTCTCTTAATTGCCATCACTTGATTGAGATCTTTGGTTAGATTATCTTGTTTATATCCTTTTTCCAACATTTTACCTTCTAATTTATGTGACTGTTCAATAAATTTAGTTTCCTCAGTGCAGTTCCTTTTTATCCGGATAAATTGAGATTTGGGGATTCCCTTAAGCCAAGGTGTAAAATGACAGCTCGTGGTGTGAATGAAACTATTCACATCTACTTTTTTTAAATGAGTGCTAGTTTTGATTTTATTATCTTCAATAAAAATGTCAAGATCTAAAAAATTCACTCTCGTTTTGTTAAAATCCGTAGTGAGGGCTATGCCCCAATCATTATTGTTCAATGTATTAATAAAATCGGTTAGTGATTCTTCTGTTCCTTCCCAGATAAAAAACAGGTCATCTATGTAACGGCGATAGGTAACGAGGCCCGTCGCCCAGCCCGCCCCATGATGGATAAACTGGAGCTCCCAATATGCCATAAAAAGATTGGCATAGCTGGGCGCGAACCTCGTTCCCATCGCCGTCCCACAGGCCTGTAAATAAAAATGTCCATCGTACCAGAAATAATTGCTGGTTAAAATTAAAAGAATCCCTTGCATAATAAAATCTATATGGTCAGGGGAAAAATTACCTGATTGCTCTAAGAAAAACCTGGTGGCCATACAGCCCCTATCATGTGCAATATTGGTGTAAAGGGAGCTCACATCAGCAGTGGACAGAAAATAATTTTCGTTCCACACCAATTTTTCTATGTGTCTTAATATATCCCCAGTATCCTTCAGATAGCTGGGTATTCCTTGAACAATTGGTTGCAAGCATTGGTCTATATACTCAGATAATCTACAGGACACAGAACCAATGCCTGAGACTATAGGCCTCCCTGGAGGTTGAGTGGGATTCTTGTGGATTTTGGGGAGGTGGTATACTGGAATTCTTGGGAAATCAATTTTTAAGTAATTAAACTCTTTTTGGTTCAAGATCCCATTTGTAAGTCCTTCATTTAGGTAATTATGGAATTTGTCCTTGAGATTCTTTGTAGGATCTGCTCCTAATTTAATATAGGTATTGGTGTCCTCCAGTAATTTGTATGATTCCTTGTTATAGTCATCTAATGTCATTAAAACTACACCCCCCCCTTATCGGCTGGTTTTATAATTATTGAATTATCTTTCTGGAATTTCTTCAGGGCCATACACTCTTTCCTGGTGAGGTTCTGTTGATGTTTATTGGGTTCTTTAATTTTATTTCTATCTCTCATCACTAATTTTTCATCTCTCTCTCTGTTTGTTCCATATCTTCGGGAGAATATCGTTTGGGATAAAGGGGTGTGTTGCTGCCTCAAGAGCAAGAAGGAGTCACTTACGTAGCCAATAGCTTATAGGCTCCAACCCACGTGAGTGGTTTCAACCAATTGCTACCATTATTCATTTTTTATTTTTTTGTAAACCATCTGCACTATATTCTCTCTTTTTGTTGTTTTACTTTGTATGTACATTTGGACACACTGTATCACTATGTTGGAGGGGTGAGTATACCCCCTCATTATTTATATATATATTCAATATAGCGCTCCACTTGCTGGTATATTGTTTATACCTTTTTTTCTTGTATTTTGCATTTTCTTGTATTTTGCACTTCATTGTGGATTAAGGTATTTCACTTTTTGTGTTGAGCTGCTTTTATTCAGGCACTTTAGTATATCACTCACTATCTCAGTAAGGGATAGTTTTTGTTTTCTTTGTGTGTTTCATACCAAATACCTTTTGTGTGTACACTATTTTGCCTGCCTGCACTATGTCACTTTTCGAACAAAGAAAAAAACACCACTGCAAAAATATAGATGAATTATTTGGTGGGGAAGAGAATCTTTTCAACCAAATTGACCAAGTTGAGGAGAGATCCATCTCAGATTGCCAGATAAATTTGGAGAGACTCTTAAGTAAAGAAATACGAATTAAATGGGAAATAGCTACCCTAGAAAAATACATCAGAGATAAAATAACTCCGAGAGGTTTGAGGCTCTCCAAGTTTCCCTCCTTTGATCAAGATGACAAAACATTTATGGATGAATGGTCAGTGATGTTAGATTCTTTTTCATTCACAATGATGAGAACTTTAATTAAGCGAAGAGAGTATAATTTGGAAAAACTTGATGCAGAAATCAATAAGGAACAAAAAATTTTATTAAATCACACTAATTCCGAGAAATATAGGAAAATCACCGAAAATTTACAACACACCCTAGAAAAAGTAGAAAAAGATACAATCCAAATTAAAAAGAAAAAATACACACGTGATAGGACTGATTACAATAAGAATGAAGCTTACACATATGGAAATAGAAAACAGCCCATATATAGACAAGGCGATAGAAATAAAACACAACACTCAGTCAGACACTATCAAAATAACATCCGAGACAGGTACCATGAACCCAATTTCCAAAATGGGCCTAGAAATAGAACAGAATACAGGACAACCAATCACACTAATGAATGGAACCGTCCTAAGGTTTCGAGCACGAAAACAAGAGAACCACATGTGTCGAGGCCATATATCCAAGATAATATCAGAACCCCAATAAGAACAGAAAGAAGGGCAAGATCTGACGAGTTTTTAACGGCCCAAAGTAAAATCCGTAAAAGTACAAGGAGGTTGTCACATATACCTATCTCCAATAGATTCGAGACCTTAGCCAGAACCCCTCAGGAAGGGGATTTTTGGAACTTGAGGAACAGAGTCAAACACAAACCCCAATACCAACAGAGATCACCACAGAAGAGACGGAGAAGTATAGAGGAAGGGGAATTAGAGGAGGAGCGAACCTTCAGAGGAGAAAAAAGAGACAGACGAAACCAGTAAATATGAAAGATAGAGAAAAACAAGCAGGGATTTTCAATCTAACACCATATGTCTTGAATTCTCCTCAAATCAAATTGTTACAGAAGGGTTTGAAATTCGCACCAACTAAAAAGCTAAATAAATTTGAGACATATGTTGATTTAAATAAATTTAAGAGGACATTATGTCTAAAGAAATTTTTCTACAAGAACCCTATTTTAACTAATTCTGAAGATACACAACATGATGTCTATAAACATACTAACTTGAAAGAAAAATCAAAGTTCTATCCCAAAAACTTAATATCAGGTGAAATGGTAACATTTGAAAAATTAGTGATGAGAGATATAAATAAAATTAAAGAACCCAATAAACATCAACAGAACCTCACCAGGAAAGAGTGTATGGCCCTGAAGAAATTCCAGAAAGATAATTCAATAATTATAAAACCAGCCGATAAGGGGGGGGGTGTAGTTTTAATGACATTAGATGACTATAACAAGGAATCATACAAATTACTGGAGGACACCAATACCTATATTAAATTAGGAGCAGATCCTACAAAGAATCTCAAGGACAAATTCCATAATTACCTAAATGAAGGACTTACAAATGGGATCTTGAACCAAAAAGAGTTTAATTACTTAAAAATTGATTTCCCAAGAATTCCAGTACTATACCACCTCC